CCTGGAGCCTGAGCCTCGCTTCTGCAGACCCCAGAGTCCCGCAGGGGCCTTGGCCTCGAGGCAGGAGACCCCGATGCTGGCCCTGCTTCTGTCTCCAGCTCCCTGAGTGGTCTCGGGCGAGTGGCTCACCTTCCCTGGGCCCTTGGTCTCCCACCCCCTTCCTCGTGGACGGCCTGGGCTCCAGGGTCCTCGTGGCCTGGGTCGTTCCCGATGGGAGCCCTCTGGTCCCTTGCAGCTCTGAAGTCGGAAGCTGCCGCTGACACGCAGGTAGAGAAGCGACGTCGCTGGCACGGAGAAGGGTTTCTAGTGGGTGGTGGAAAACCGTTCAGACTTTGCAGGTCACGGGAAGCAGGGCGTTAGGAAGAGCTCCTCTCTCGGTCAGGACCGGGCAGCGGGCTGGCTGGAAAGGCAGTGAGCCCCCTGTCCCTGCAGGTGTGTAAGTGGAGGCTGAGTGACCAAATGGCGACGACGCCACAAGGGACATCTGAAGTTCCTTTGTCCCAAGGAAAGAGGGAGCTGCCCTTTCCCAGGCTCCTTCTGGACTGCGCTTGGGGTGACCTCTCCTCTCGAGTCATCCCGGTGGCCCGGGGGGCGGGTGTCGCTAGCCCACGTTACAGAGGCGGAAACAGGGGCGCGGTAACCCACACGGGAGGCCGGAGGTGCCAGGTCGGGCTGCGGCTCCCTCAAGGGGCCTGGAGAGCGCCGTGAGTCCGGGCCTCCCGAGGCAGCGCGTGCAGGAAAACCGTGTGGGAGGGACGCGTGGCGAGCGCTGGCCGGCCCCTCACCCCCGACGTGGGGTGCAGTGTGGACCCGAGGGGGACCGTTTCCCAAGCCACGGCAGGACCGCCTGCCCCGCCACCTGCACCTGGGGACCAGGTCTCATGCGGGGGCCACACCCGCCTGACCCTCACCCCTAGTGAACGTGGCCTGGGGGATGCCCTAGAGTCCCACGTCTGGCCGCCTCCTCCTCCCGGCTTCCGGGCTTATCCCTCTCTCTCCCAGAGCTGCTGAGAAACGCTGGCGGAAGCTG